CCAAGGAGCAAATTCTGCTCTGGGATCTAAGAAAATATAAGTCAGACTTCATAAAAACTTTGGGTTGGGTAGGATGAGCTTTCATTCTACAATGGTACCTCTGGTTCCGTACTTAATTCGTTCTGGAGGTCCGTTCTTAACCTGAAACTGTTCTTAACCTGAAGCACCACTTTAGCTAATGGGGCCTCCCACTGCTGCCGCCGCACGATTTCTGTTCTCATCCTGAAGCAAAGTTCTTAACCTGAGGTACTATTTCTGGGCTAGCGGAGTCTGTAACCTGAAGCGTATGTAACCTGAAGCATATGTAACCCGAGGTACCACTGTATTGCATTCTTATTACTTATGCAGTGGTACCTCAGGTTACAGACGCTTCAGGTTACAGACTCCGCTAATCCAGAAATAGTACTTTGGGTTAAGAACTTTGCTTCAGGATGAGAACAGAAATTGCGCGGTGACAGCGGGAGGCCCCATTAGCTAAAGTGGTACCTCAGGTTGAGAACAGTTTCAGGTTAAGAACTGACCTCCAGAACAAATGAAGTTCTTAACCCAAGGTACCACTGTACAGTCATACCTCCTGTTACGTCCGCTTCATGTTACGTTCTTTCAGGTTACGTCCTGCGGCGAAACGGATGTATCGGAAAGGGTTACTTTTGGGTTTCTCTGCTCGCGCATGCGCAGAAGTGCAAAATGACATCATGTGCATGCGCAGAAGCAGCGAATCGCAACCCGCGCATGCACAGATGCGCCGCTGCGGGTTGTGCTTTTTTTATGTTGCGAATGGGCCTCCGGAACAGATCCCGTTCGCAACCAGACATACCACTGTATAGCTTAGGAGGCAACAACCCATGATTTATATTGGGGGTGGGGAGTATTATTTTTTGGATTTGAAGAAGAAGAGTTTGGATTTGATATCCCGCCTTTCACTCCCTTTAAGGAGTCTCAAAGCGGCTAACCTTCTCCTTTCCCTTCCTCCCCCACAACAAACACGCTGTGAGGTGAGTGGGGCTGAGAGACTTCAAAGAAGTGTGACTGGCCCAAGGTCACCCAGCAGCTGCATGTGGAGGAGCGGAGACGCGAACCCGGTTCCCCAGATAACGAGACTACCGCTCTTAACCACTACACCATACACCATTTCTCTTTCCTTTTGTATTTGTTTGCTGAATATGTAAAAAGCAGTTGTTTACTTGCTGTATTTATATTGTGGTCAGCTGGTCCTGTTCTGATAAGTCTGGGATTTTGCTTTGAGAGGGGTCTGAAAAGAAACCAAAATAATGCTTATAATAGGTAAAGAAAAGGTAAAGGTAAAGGACCCCTGGACAGTTAAGTCCACTGAAAGGTGACTGGGGTTGCAGTGCTCATCTTGCTTTCAGGCCTGAGGGAGCTGGCGTTTGTCCACAGACAGCTTTCCGGGTCATGTGGCCAGCATGACTAAACCGCTTCTGGAGAAACCAGAGCAGTGCACGGAAACGCCGTTTACCTTCCCGCTGCAGCGGTACCTATTTATCTACTCGCATTGGCGTGCTTTCGAACTGCTAGGTTGGCCGAAGCTAGTCAGAATAACAGGAGTTCACCCCATCGCGGGGTTTCAAACCCCTGACCTTCCGATCAGCAAGCCCAAGAGGCTCAGTGGTTTAGACCACAGCGCCACCTGCTCCCCTTAAATGCAGACAGCCTTCAGACATAGCCAGTGATTCCAAAAAAAGGCTTTTTGAATTTGTGTGTTTTAAGGGCAGGTTCTGAAAACTCTTCTGCTTCCACGCGGAAGAAAAAGGAAAAAGGTACAGGATTCCTAGATGGTGAAGTCCAGTCAAAGGCAGCTATGGGGTGCAGATCAGAGAGAACTCATTGTTCCTTATGCATGCAGATTTTGTGTAACGGATGTTGGAGAATTCTGATGAAAACAGAAAAAGGAGCAGAAATTGCAGTTGCTTATTCGCATCAGAACTGGAATGGAAATCAATCCAGCAAATACGATCAATACTCCTTGTTGTTGTTGCTTTCAGTTAGCAAATGATACTTAATTGATTGTCTCTCCCCCCCCCCATTTTTCCAATGTATTTGCACTGAAATTAATCGGGTTGGAATCACATCATGGCCACATACTTTATGCAAATGATATAAATTATGCAAATTTCCTAATTTTGTCACAGTGGACAGTGTGATGAATAACACAGGTTTGGGCAGAAGGCGAACTGCAGGGGAACAGAAACAGCGCTGCAATGAACACAGGAGCGGAAGGGAAAGCGATGCCTTCTTACATCTGTAGCATCTGCAAAATGTCATCCTCATCACAATGGCATCCCATAGTCCCCTCCCCACCATTGAATCCAGATCTAATTGTTTCTGCAGGTTTTGTTTTTTACATAGGAGTTGGATGAAGTGCTGTGTGGATGATGGGCAAAACCTGCATGCACGGAGCGCACCATGTGCACGATAATTTGCCAGGTTGAAGTGCCTCTAATAAAAGCATTACATATAACTCAGCCTTGCATCAGAACTACGGTAAGTTCAGAGCAGTTTGCGAGGTTAAAAATAGAAGACAAAATCACAAGGATGAGACTAGCAGATTAAAAATAAAACAAAACCAATGCTGGTGCCAGGCAAGGTTTCAGGCGAGGGTGGTGGTCTTCTTCTTTGGCGATCACTCGTAGCCGAGTAAGATTGTCTTCCATAAGCACGGTTTTCACAATAAATGATTGTGGAGGCAAATTCTGGATCCACACGTCCTTCCACAGTGGCGACATTGGTTTCCAGGTGGGAGATGATCACAGTGAGGGTTTGCCAAGCCAAGTGTGCCTTCCTCTTAGCACATTTCTCCCTTGCGTCCTGAGTTTGAGTGTCTTCAAAGCCCATGACAACTTTGGTAAAGGCTGTTCTCCAAATGGAGCGCTCGCAGGCCAGTGTTCCCCAGTTGTCAGTGTTTATACTACATTTTTTTTAGATTTGCCTTGAGAGAGTCTTTAAACCTCTTTTGTTGACCACCAGCATTATGCTTTCCATTTTTAAGTTCGGAATAGAGTAGTTGCTTTGGAAGACAATCATCAGGCATCCGCACAACATGACCAAACAGGGCAGCATGGTTGTTAGCCTCATAGCAATCTCAAGGTATCACCTGGTGACACATGTGGCCACCACCTTGCTGAAGCTAAGCAGGTCTGGGGTTGGTCAGGGTCTGGATGGGAGACCTCCAGGCAGAGAGCCTTGGGCTCCATAATGGAAGAATGCGAGGAGGTGAAAATTTGTAAGCAAACAAATGAATACATAAAACAGAAACAAGCATCTGCGTGGTGCTGGTGTATTGTCTTCATCCAATGTACACCTTGCTTGCGGTTGTTGTTGTTTAGTTGTTTAGTCGTGTCCGACTCTTCGTGACCCCATGGACCAGAGCACACCAGGCACTCCTGTCTTCCACTGCCTCCCAGTTTGGTCAAACTCATGCTGGTAGCTTCAAGAACACAGTCCCAACCATCTCATCCTCTGCTGTCCCCTTCTCCTTGTGCCCTCCATATTTCACAACATCAGGGTCTTTTCCAGGAAGTCTTCTCTTCTCATGAGGTGGCCAAAGTATTGGAGCCTCAGCTTCAGGATCTGTCCTTCCAGTGAGCACTCAGGGCTGATTTCCTTCAGAATGGATAGGTTTGATCTTCTTGCAGTCCATGGGACTCTCAAGAGACTCCTCCAGCAGCATAATTCAAAAGCATCAATTTTTCGGCGATCAGCCTTCTCTATGGTCCAGCTCTTGCTTCCATACATCACTACTGGGAAAACCAATAGTGTACGGCTTGAATAAAAGATTTGGGGTAGCCCAGGTAAGCCCCACTGTGCATAATTCATCACATGATGCTGCGCATACACGCCATTTGAATGGCAGTGCCCATCAACTTTTGGAGGCGGGGACGGGCCCCTCAAATATGTTAAGGGGAGCTCTGAAGGGACCTTGGCCCCTAGGAGTTGGCTTGCAGCACCTTTTAGATCCGAGAAATGTCAAAAGGAGGGGGAGGGATGACTCAATGCCCTGCCCAGCCGGGCTTCTCCCTTTTAAAGGCATGAGGTCTGATCTCAGGCCTCATGTGCCACCCCCACCCCTGGAAGTTTGGGGGCTCATGACCCAGGAGCGGGCATTCTCTGTAGCAGCCCCTAAACTCTGGAATCCCCTCCTCACAGAGATGCATGTGATACCTCTCTTTTGCAAAATGCCGAAAACCCACCTCTTTTCCTCTGGCCTTGTTTTAAATAATAACAATACTGATTTTTTTAAATAATAATAATAATAATAATAATAATAATAATAATAATAATAATAATAATTGCAACCTGCCCTGGGACCTTGTGGTGAAGGGTGGGCAAGAAATACAGTGGCTGATGATGATGATAATGATAATGTGTGGTTTGTAGCTAACACCATTCTCTCAATGGTATGGCAAAACAGTTTGCTCCTTCAACACGGAATTTGCTAAACACCAAGTCAACTGCTGTCTCTGTAAGCTAATAATAATAATAATAATAATAATAATAATAATAATAATAATAATAATTTTATTTATACCGCGCCCTGCCCAGTTCAGAAAACCGGGCTCAGCGTGGCTAACAACAAATTTAAAACACTTAATTGTGATACAACAAGAAACAGCATAAAAATCTGTATGAAAGCTTGAATAACAATAAATTCAAAATTCTAAAATCAGTTTAGGGGCTAGTACAGTGTGTGTGTGTTCCAGGGGTGTGTGTGTGTGTGTGCGCGCGCGCGCGCGCGCACGCCAGGGGTGTGTGTGTGCCAGGGGTGTGTGTGGGGGGGGAGGTTCCTACCCTTCACGTCAAGCCACCAGCACCAACACCACGCGGCCGCCACAGAGAGCCTTTTTTGGGGGATGCCCCGTCAGCAGCAGGCTTTCTATTACCAGTTTCCTCTTTCTGTTACAGAATTTTTCCTCTTCCTCTTGGGAGCCTCGCGCTGTGGGCGGGCGGGCGGGGAAGTTTGAATGGCTCTCCCCGACAGGGTTTAAAAGGCAGGGCCAGCAGCAGCCCTGAAGCACTCGCTCTCCTCTCGAACAAGCTGCAGGGGAAGTCAAGACGGGTTAAAGGAGGCAGACAGAGGAAGCAACACCCATTCACAAAGCGAACTCAAGCCGCAGAAGAGCAGGAGCGCAACACACACCTGCGAAAACTTTTTCTTCTTCCTCCGAACTGGTGTAGCTTTTGGCAAAAGTCCACTCGCCGCTCTTGCCTCTTTTGATCTAAACCCGTGGCTGAAATCCGCCTGGAGAAAGTGGCTGAAATCCGCCTGGAGAAAAGATCTGCCCGTCGCTTTCCACCTGTTGATTTGAAACCCTCCCTGGATCCTTCCACCTCGTGCCAGGCGGCGACGGCAGCAGGAGCGCATCTCTTGACCGAACCGCACCAGCCAGCTATGAGCTCCGAGCATTTGGTGTACGACGTGGAGAAAGGGAGCAACGTGGTGGTGGTGCGCGAAAAGCCGCAGAAGGAGAGCCACTGGAAATGCCTCAGCATCTGCTCCCTCCTGCTGCTGCTGGGCGCCACCTTCGTCTTTGCGCTTTTGCAGTTTGGCGCTTTCAAGCAGTCTGAATCCCAGGTAAGGAACATTTCTTTCTTTCTTTTCTTCTTTTCTTTCTTTCTTTTCTTTCTTTCTTTCTTTCTTTCTTTCTTTCTTTCTTTCTTTCTTTCATCTCTCTATCTCTATCTATCTATCTACCTACCTACCTACCTACCTATCATCTATCTATCATCTATCTATCTACCTACCTATCATCTATCTATCATCTATCTATCATCTATCTATCTATCTATCTATCTATCTATCTATCTATCATCTATCTATCCTATCATTCATCTATCTATCTATTCTATCTTTCTATCTATCTATCTCTCATCTATCTATCATCTCTCTCTCTCTCTCTCTCTCTCTCTCTCTCTCTCTCTCTCTCTCTATCTCTTTCTCTATCTCTATCTCTATCTCTATCATCATCTATCATCTATCTATCTATCTATCTATCATCTATCTATCTATCTATCTAATCTAATCTATCATCTATCATCTATCTATATCTATCTGTCTTCGTATCTCTGTGTGTCTCTCTCTGTGTGTGCGGCAGAGGTAGAAAGAGATATGGGGTTGGTCTTCATTAGTAAAAGATTCTCTGGGTTTGCATGAAATTTGCAAAGACGTTCTAAATCAATAGGTAGGCAAACTAAGGCCCAGGGCCCGGGATCCGGCCCAATCACCTTCTAAATCCGGCCTACGGATGGACTGGGAATCATTGTGTGTGATGTGTCACACATACATGGGGTGTGATGTGTCCTTTTATTTAAAATGCATCTCTGGGTTATTTGTGGGGCCTGCCTGGTGTTTCTAACAGCACTGCAGTGAGAGAGAGTGAGTGAGCCAGGTTAGGGGCAGAGAGCTACGAGTGCGAGCGCCCCCCCAGATGTTGCGCCCGGTGCGGCCGCCCCCCTGCACCCCCCACACTACGCCACTGATAGGAATTCATTCATTCCCCCCCAAAAAAAATATAGTCTGGCCCCCCACAAGGTCTGAGAGACAGTAAATAGCTCTGAGTTGTTGGCAATCACCACCACAAATTTTAATTTGAGTTGCCCCCCCCCCCAACAAGCCCATTGATGGGTGCTGAAAGATTTAGGGACTTTTTGAGAACCGAGGCACACACTGAATGCGTCAAGTTGATTTGGAGCACTGTTGCCTTATAAAAGTTTTTAAAGTTAAGGGCTTTTAAAATTAAGGATCCCACGACGAATTAAAAATAATAACAACCAAGATTGTGAGATTCAAATTTTTAAAAAAATGTTCACAAGGTCACAATTGGTGATCTACTTGAACTCAGCCCACCATCACCTCTGGGACTTACAGTATCACCAAAAATGTGCCCATTGCAGCTCTGCAGAGTAGTTAATGTGCACTTAGCTCTTTTTTACTCTATAGTTCTGCCTATTTGGAAAGCTACCCCAAACATGCCTCCCACATATTGGACATTCTAGCTCCAGCTCGTTTTGCACTATCACTGTATTGTTCATTGTTGTCACTACAAATGTATTTACCCCGTTTCCCCATTTCTTTCTTTGTTCAGGACTCTAAGGAAAAGGGAAGCCCATTTTCTGGTAAGTTCTTCTTAACAGCATTTTTTTTCCCTTAAGAGAAACCTCCCCCATTCTGTCAGGGCAATGGATTTCGGGGGGCAAGGACTTTGGCTCAGTTCTGAGGCTGCGTATACACCGCACTTTTAAACCACACGGCTCCCCCCCCGAAGGATCCTGTAGTTTACTCTTAAAAAGCTACAATCCCTGCCCCCCTTAACAAACTAAGGATTCTTAGGAGGCTGCCATGTTCTTAGGAGAGAGCCAGTGTGGTGTAGTGGTTAAGAGCGGTAGTCTCATAATCTGGTGAACCGGGTTCGCTTCCCCGCTCCTCCACATGCAGCTGCCTTGGGCTAGTCACACTTCTCTGAAGTCTCTCAGCCCCACTCACCTCACAGAGCTTTATCCTTCGGGTAGTGATAAAGCGGGATATCAAATCCAAACTCTTCTTCTTCTTTCAACATATGCTGGGTACAGCAGCCTCTCTGATTCTCAAAACCAATGTCCACCTTCAGCAACTGCTCAGAGGCACCATGTGCTTAGGCATATGCCTTTTGCACCGTGTTACACTTGCTGGATCTTGGGGTTGTAGTCAAATGCACATTAGATCCCACAAGCCTGAGGTCCCCTGGGCTAGACCATCAGTGCCTACAGGCGATTTTAAAATGCTGGTTCTCCAGCCAACTGAAAATACTGCAGTATCAGATTAACCCAGCCTCGTGTGGGATCCTTAAAGGAAGGAAGTTGAGAAGATGTATTGTCTGACCACCTGTCCTCTTTTTGTCTTTGCAGGAGGGTTGCCGCAGACGATGAAAGTTCAAGCCCTGATGTCCAGGAAACCAGCTGCCCATGCCCTAGGTGAGAGGGGTTTCCTAAACTGCTTGAAAGGGGTTTGTTGTGAACAAATGATCACAGAGTTGTTGAGCATATAAAGTGCTTTAAAATATTGGCCCAGTTGGGCTAGGATAAGAGATGATGGCTGGCCGAAACTTAGCCATTGAACTTCCATTTGAATCTGAGTTCCCCACAAACTGACTCATCATTCAGTCCAAGCCTCCTGCATAATCCAACACTGGAATATACCCACCAAACAGGGGACATCCTATTCCATACCCTCCAACATTTCTCCCATGAAAATAGAAATGTCCCCTTCAACATTTCTCCCATGAAAATGGGGGTGTCCTATTCCATACTCTCCTACATTTCTTTGGTGAAAATAGGGAAGTCCTACCATACCCTCTTGGGACGTGGGTGGCGCTGTGGGTTAAAACCACTGAGCCTAGGACTTGCCGATCAGAAGGTCGGCGGTTCGAATCCCCGCCACGGGGTGAGCTCCCGTTGCTCGGTCCCTGCTCCTGCCAACCTAGCAGTTCAAAAGCACATCAAAGTGCAAGTAGATAAATAGGTACTGTTCTGGCGGGAAGGTAAACGGCATTTCCGTGCGCTGCTCTGGTTTCGCCAGAAGCCGCTTAGTCATGCTGGCCACATGACCTGGAAGCTGTACGCCGGCTTCCCTCGGCCAATAAAGCGAGATGAGCGCCGCAACCCCAGAGTCGGCCACGACTGGACCTAATGGTCAGGGGTCCCTTTACTTTTACCATACCCTCCAACATTTCTCCAATGAAAATAGGAACATCCAGGGCTTTTTTTTCCCAATCGGAACTCACCGGAACTCAGTTCTGGTAGCTCTCATGTTGGCGCCATAGTCATTCTAAGAGGACAAAGGTGGGGTTCGTGGTGAGTTCTGGTACCTCTTTTCTAGAAAATTAGCACTGACGACGTCCCAAGGAAAAGCGGGACATTCCAGGATCAAATCAGAAATTGGAACTGCTTCTGTAAATCTGGGACTGTCCCTAGAAAATAGGGACACTTCGCATTCCGTTAAGCCGCTCTGAGATGCCAAAGCTTGGGCTTTCTCCCATGTAGTTGTTGCCAGAGTTTGTTGGGGCCACACACACACGCACACACACACACAAGGTTAATGTGGTTTTGCCCAATGGCCTGTCAAAGCAAGGATTGGCCTCGCACTCTCTGCTCCACCAAAGCACTAGGTCAAACCAAAATTGCCTTCAGGGGACTAACAGCGAAACTTTGTAGGCCGAAGCCTCTTAGCACATGTCGATGAACCTTCGATGCTGACTGGTTTTTCCCTTCCCTTTACAGCTTCCCGAGCTCACGGCCAGCAATTGTTCTGGACCACAGACGTGGCGCCCTCCATACTTGAGAATGGCATGCAGCTGAACAAAAATGACAACTCCCTCGTGGTGCCTTCGACCGGACTCTATTTTGTCTACTCTCAGGTCATGTTCCATAGCGACACCTGCCCGGAATCTCCTCTGCTGCTCAGCCACACCATCTCGTGGTTTTCCTCACAGTTCAACAAGAATGTGGAATTGCTGAAGTCCATCAAGTCCGCTTGCGAGGGCGGAAGAACCGCCCAGGGCCAAAAGAGTTTGTGGTTCGAATCCATTTACCAGGGGGCTGTCTTCAGGTTGAACAAAGGGGACCGCCTGTGGTCCAAAACCGAATCTCCTCAGTATCTGGACTTTGCCCAACAGGGACAGATCTATTTTGGGATCGTTGCCATGGAGTAAAAAAAAAGAAAGAAAAGACTCTCCTGCAGTGCCATAGTTACAACTCACTTGCTCCTCCTACTCCATCATTCAAAATACAAATTTGAGGATGAGGAACAAGAGACCTGAATTGGCACCCCAGTGAAGGAGGTTACTTCTTCTCTGGGAAGATAGGACACAGTGTTACTTATGTTGTTGTTGTTGTTGTTTATTTTTAATCAACCCTATTTATTTTATTTATTTATTTATTTATTTATTTATATAGCCAGTGGGCGTGTGGTTGGAAGTCTGAAAGGATGTGGGATGCGCGCTTCTTTTGTCACACCAATTCAATAAAAAAAAAGATGAAATATAGATAATCCAGTAGAAACAAGAGTGTGGGTTTTGAGTGTGCTTGTGTGTGTGTATGAGAGAGAGAGGGAGGGAGAGAGAAGTGGTTCTGTGAGCTGTAAGTGATTCCAAAAATAAGGGGAGTTGTGCTCCTTTGAACCCAGCTCCAGAAACTCAGATCAGCTGTATATATATACTATGTATATCTGTTAATAATGAATATACCGGTGTAATTATGTATGTTACATGGACTGCTCCTGAATTTTGGGGGAGGGTGGCCCTGCGGGCAATGTCCTCTCCCAGTTTACCGAGAAAGAGAGGATAAAAATTCTCTTGGTTGGTAATGTTTACATCAAAGATGTAATCTGACACCTGAGCTGTTGTGATTTTGCTCACTCTTGTGGCACATAGTGTATTTCATGTTGAAATCCTGCATGTGTTGCCACAAAAGCGGTGATTTCAAAAGGGAAATAATACCTTGTGACGTGATTTTTTTAAAAACAATGTTGCTTATTTATTTATTTATGTGGATATTTATTTTGCTGTATTCTCCTTTTTTGCACATTGCGGAGAAACGGCAACTGTTATTATAAGTTGGTTGTGTAACTTTTAAACGAGTCCAAGAAATAAAACTGAGATACTATTTAATTTTTAAAAAACCCACGCTTTTTGACTCCTTGAAATGAATGAACGGATCGTTTCTGAGCTAGAGCAACAGCAAAACACAAGTTTCATGACCATAAATAGATTTAACCTAAAAAGTATCATATATTGCAAAACACCAGCAATAAAGCATCAGTTATTCAGCCTACTGTCTACTTCAGTGATGTAGAACCCATGAACCTCCAGGTATTTTGGACTCCCATCAGCCCCAGCCAGCATGACCAATGGTTAAGTCTGATCAAAGTTTAAGCCAACAAAATGCCATAGCTACCTGTAACTGAGCCTGGAATAAACCATATATTGTGCACCCTATCGCTACTGATATCTACTTAAATTAGGATAAGGAGTTGGTGGCGCTGTGGTCTAAACCACTGAGCCTCTTGGGCTTGCTGATCAGAAGGTCGGCAGTTTGAATCGGCACTGCAGTCGGAAGGTCGGCACTGCGGTGGGAAGGTAAACAGCATTTCCGTGCGCTCTGGCTTCTGTCACAGTGTCCTGTTGCACCAAAAGCGGTTTAGTCCTGCTGGCCACATGACCCGGAAAGCTGTTCCTTGGACAAACGCCGGCTTCCTTGGCCTGAAAGCGAGATGAGCGCCGCAACCCCAGAGTCGTCTGTGACTGGACCTAACGGTCAGGGGTCCCTTTACCTTTACTAACATGCGTTCATGAAACCGTAGTCAGATATTATAATTCCTGGAGGCTTAAACAGGCACATCCCCCAATGAAAGCATCAAGTATATATTTATTTTAATCCTCCCTCCAAAAAAAATCTCAAATCCACACACCCTTTCCTTCCCCCCCCCACAGTTTATACTTCAGTGAACTTACAGAAGCTTGTGGAGGCATTTCTGTCTCTGACCAATGAGCTCTCTGCACCATTCAGTCAATCCTAACTCAAAACTTTGGCTAGAGATGTGAATGCCTGAAAAAACCTCAGAAGATTTCCTCCATTTTTTGTAATAAATAAGGTGGGGGAAGAGAAAAATAGGAATATAATGGTTCCCCCTTTTTTCCTGCTCCCATAAGGTCTTAAGATCTCTAGTTATGACAAAGATATCTCTCCCACATGTCTCTGGGCAGAAAAAACCATATGAAAAGTACAACAACTGAATATTAGAATGGAACATTAGGAAGATTGCTGGCTTTTCAGCCCATTGGTCAGGCTTCCTCTCTGTTGTTTTGATGGCTATCTAACAGTCACTATATCAGAAAGTCTTGTAGAAGAGCCCAACATCATGAGCATGCTCAGAGCTGTTTCCTTGAAAGCCACATCTCCTCATAACTTTTTGCACATTCTGATAACCAGAGAAGCAGCAGGGTGTTTTTGAGGAACATTTTTACGTTGTTTAGTATTTGGCTTTGTTGAATTCATTTATTTCATAAATGAATGAAAATACCCTCCAACATTTCTCCAATGAAAATAGGGACATCCTAAGGAAGTTGGGACATTCTGGGATCAAATCAGAAACCGGGACGGCCCATCTAAATCAGGGACATCCCTGGAAAATAGTGGCACTTGGAGGGTCTGCTGCTCGATTGTGGAAAACCTCAAAGCAGTTTAATGAGGAGACCATCGCAGTCTGCACAGGTGTAATAACACACTTTCCTAAAGTCCTAAAGTGATGAAAACAGCAAGCTTAAAATTTGCAGCACTACCAAGCCAAAAATATTACCTGGTAACTTTTCTTATTTCATTCTAATTCTAAATCTGTGTTTCTAATTTAAGTAGGTAAAAAGGTAAAGGACCCCTGGATGGTTAAGTCCAGTCAAAGGCGACTATGGGGTTGTGGTGCTCATCTCGCTTTCAGGCCAAGGGAACCAGCGTTTGGCCACAGACAGCTTTCCGGGTCATGTGGCCAGCATGACTAAACCGCTTCTGGTGCAATGGGACACCGGGATGGAAACCAGAGTGCATGGTACCTATTTATCTACTTGCACTGGTATGCTTCGAACTGCTAGGTTGGCAGGAGCAGGGACTGAGCAACAGGAGCTCACCCCGTCACAGGGATTTGAACCACCGACCTTCTGATCAGCAAGCCCAAGAGGCTCTGTGGTTTAACCCACGGCCCGAAGGCAAGTTAATGAGGTCTAATTAAACTGAGGCGCCAATAAACACCCCACTCTCACAAAATTGCATTAATGCAATATCTTATGGCGTGATAAATATGAGCTAAACAGCACCGCATAGTATACAACATAGCCCTAAGGTGAGTTGTTTTTAAATATGTTGTAAGTGGCTTGGAAATCTCTGTGCAACAAGCAGCTAACAAATCTAATTGGTAGTGGTGGTGATGGCGAGACTTATGTCTAGGAATGGAAGGAGGCCAGCGACTTCTGCCTTGCCCTGGGTTCGTCCCAGTCATAGAATCATGGAATCATAGAACTGTAGAGTTCAGTTTCTATGTTAGTCATCTCACTTTCCATTTTGGCTGAAACAAATGTATTGCTCTTGGGTGGCACATAAATCCTGAAATGAAATGAAATGAAAAAGTCTATCCACATCTCATTTAGCAGAACCAATCTCTTTTAAGATCATCTCCTTTTCATTCTGACCAGAGATTGGTGTGCCTGTTTTCTTTAAATTGCATTTAGTTAATAATCTTTATTAATTTAAATTGCACACTTATACAAAGAATTTACAATCTCATACTACAAAAAGAAAATCAAAGAAAAAACAAATAAGAAAAAAGAAATACAGAAAGAAGAAAAAGTAAATTTACGTACATTTAAAAACTTAATCTTCCTAATTAATACTTAATTAAACACGTAAATAAAAAAGACTTCTGACAAAACAAGTCTTCCAGTCATTCTGATTGTACTGTTTATACTGTCGTTGTTGTTGTTTTTTGAGTGATACTTGTAAACACAACAAATACCGTGTGTGAGTAGACGGGAACAATATTAAAGAATATAAAACTGTGTAGCTAAGAGCTTTCAATATCTCTCATTTCAGGTTCTGAGCTCTTGCTGGGCGGATCCTTGAGGCTCTGCCTGAATCACTCGTGATGTTCAGTGGGAAATTTGCCGCCCATGGATTTCTCACTGTGGGAATTTCCTGAAGTTTTGATTGCTGTTTGCAGATCAGAAAGGCTCTCAAAAACCAAAACCAAGAGGCGTGCAAGTACCCATTTCCTTTTCTGAAGGCTCGAGTTCTGATTTCCCTAATTTGTGATAAATATAGACCTTGCAGAGAAGCGAGCTTCCATTTCCCCCCTGCAAATCTTTGTATTCTAAGGCTGGCTTAGAAGCACTGGCAGAAGAAGCACACACTGCTCATGCGTGTCACGTATCTATGTCTTTTCATGTGTGTTTTAGGGCCCCAAGCCACATCTAACTATACCAAACCCATAACTTCCAGTTACAGATTAACAAATCTTTCAGTTTCAATTTCACATATTTTTTTTCCCATTTTTAAATTTAATTCTCCACATTTCTGCAGCAATTTGCATTTTTTAAAAACCCAACCTCGTGCAAATTTGTCATCATTTTAGTGTGAATTTCTTCTAATAAAGACATCCAAACATGCAGTTTTGCCTCATATACAGATTTACAGGCAATTTCCCCCATTATGCACTGTTGAATGCTAATGTAGGCAGGCTTTCTCTGAGTATAGGCATGCTTGCACATATCGCATGGCTGGAGAACTGCTTTGCGAAATTCAGAGACGTGTGGATGTTTGAAAGCTAGCTGCGTTTCGGATCGCGTCTTGGTTTGCGAAGTATGAGTTAGGTAAAGGGTAAAGGGACTCCTTGACCATTAGGTCCAGTCTCGGCCAACTCTGGGGTTGTGGCGCTAATCTCGCTTTACTGGCCAAGGGAGCCAGTGTACAGCTTCCGGGTCATGTGGCCAGCATGACTAAGCTGCTTCTGGCGAACCAGAGCAGCGCACGGAAACGCCGTTTACCTTCCTGCCGGAGCGGTACCTATTTATCTACTTGCACTTTGATGTGCTTTCGAACTGCTAGGTTGGCAGGAGCAGAGACCGAGCAACGGGCGGGAGCTCACCCCGTCGCGGGGATTTGAACCGCCGACCTTCTGATCGGCAAGTCCTAGGCTCTGTGGTTGAACCCACAGCGCCACCTGCGTCCCTTATGATTTAGGTAGTTTCTTCTTAAAAGTCTATCAAAGGAGGTCCA